CTCGTAAATACATATTTAATTTGGAATAATAAATTTGATATGACAAATGAATTGTATCCCGCATTTTCAATATCAGCGTATGCATTCACTGCATAGGCAAGGGAAATGATGTTCTTGCTGTAAGTAGAATTTATTGGTCCTGAAAATTTGTTTCCATCGACATCGCCTTTTCGGCTGCATTGAAATATTCGTTTAATGCAAAGGGAATTTGACATACTTGAGCACATTTTTTCACATTAATAATAATATGGAATAATTTTCATATGCCGATAAAAATAAATTTACCATTTCTAATAAATCAACGTTGTTTTATCAAATTCAATTTTATTATTATTCATGATATGCCTATGGTATATTTAATGACAAATTTAATTGTGATAAATTAAATTGGTTATTATATCGATGAGAATTGTCGATTTTTATAAATTTTATAATTCTATGGATTATTATTGATAATGTTCATAGAATGCAATGAAAATTGTTCTAAATCTCTCGCGATTGTACAAATGTTTTAATAAGAAATAAAATCCACATAAATCAACTTGACTCACCGTAGATATTATAAAATATGCATTTCATTACACAAACAACAACAATTACAGCTTAAATATAAACTAATGCTCACGATGACAATAATATTTTAAACGATTTGGTTAAACATGCAGTAGATCTTGCGTATATTATAATTTATATGTTTGCATCGTTTAAAATACACGAGTACAATATAATTTGTCGACTAAAAATTTTGTACAATTCACCCTCGTGAGACGATTGCTGAACATTCGTGGCTAATGAATATCCTGGAAATCGTTTTAGGATATCTAAATAATCGCAATTAACATAATGTTTATTATGTATGTTTATATTATCATATAATGATATGATAAAGTTTTTGTATCGCTTTGTTTTAAATTTTACAAAGTCCTACTCGTTTTTATTGAAATACTTTTTATCGTTTGACTGGAAATTTTCATTTCTATTTCCGTTAAACTTTTAATGGTCCTTTGTTCCTGCTCGTAATACAAAGCGATTACAATAAAGTGTCGGCATTGCAAGTAACTAACACAAAATGAATAGCACTTGTCGCTCGTCGAAAAATGTTTATGAAAATAATAGGAAAGCTTTCAATTATTTTATCTTGAAATTCTTGATAATTGTAAGTATTGCTAGAATAATCGGCAATACCAATTTACACTCCATTAAACGTCAGATTTCGTAATTTATCAATCCATCGACTTACCACGTTTCCATCATCACTATCTTCCCCTGCCTTTCCCGTGCATTAATCACGCCTCCCGTTGCTCGAGATGCTGCAAAATAGTTTAAATGGCAAGCGATTAGCGTGATTTTTCGTGTCGAGGAGTAGTCGTGTGACCACAGACGTGTCTCTCTAGGCGTTGACCCTAGGAACGAAGCTAACCCTCGGGACCTCTAATCGGGTTCTAGTCGCATCCCCGTCCACGTGTATTCATCGCGCAGTCGTTCGTAATTGTTATGATGATAGTGTAGGACAATTACATTCTGCGAGAAGTATGAAAATACAATTTGGCCGAATGTGGTATAATCTCGCTTGCTTTCTCGTAAAATCTTTTTGTAAAATGAGCACCGAGATGAGCACGCATTATCCTAGACATTGAAAGAGATCTTGACGAAGATTTAGATTAGTAGATAGAACTTTGCCCAATTGGCATTATCGGTAACTGCCTATAATCGATAAATGTATATCATCTAAATCGATTTTTGATTAAATCAATAATAAAAAAAGGTTATCGATTCAAGCTCGGAAACGTGAATAACGTTTAATTTGACTTTATAAATCAGCGATAATTAAAAACATGTATAATATTGAAATTTCCAAGCTATTATAGAGTGAATCAAATTTGAATATATTTTTAAATAAAGAAATATTTTTATATTATGAAAACAAATGTATGTAAATTTATGTTAATATTTAAATAAACGATAGGGGTCTATTTATGTTACTAAAAGCTTTCTTTTCAAAGGTTTTTTAGCTAAAATCTATAATTGTTTCAATAAATACCGAAGATTTTTTAACGTTAATTTTATTTATATAACTATATTTATATATTAGAGTATGTAAATAAAAATTTGTTTTTTAGCATTAATATATTTTATGAAAAATAATTTATTAGCGCGATAGTATGTATATAATATTTCAAGTCTCATGACAATTTAATAACGTGAATTCATAAAGTTGTAGTGCAATGTTAAACTGTACAGCAATCTTAATATGTGCAAATTAACATGGATAGAATAACTTATGACTTGTTGTCATAGAAACTTTTAGAATTTTATGCCATTGTAATAATCAACTTAGTGCTTTAGTAATTAATTTTAATAGAAAACTTAGACTTGAAGCACAAAAATTGATTTGACATTTAAAATTTCATAATTCATTTTTATATATTTAAAATTATCAACTGTTAAATGCAAAAACATCCATATCTTAAGTAATAATAAAAATTATTAGTTTTTTTTTTCTTTCTCTCTTTTTTTTTTTTTTTTTTTTATGTTAAAACTGTCCAACCTTATGTATAAACAACTTATCTTGGAAAAATTATGTGCAAGTTACATTGGTCTTTGAAAATATTTGTAATATTTAATGTTTTGTTTTGTTGAAATTTTTTTCAACGTTCAATTACAATTACACGTACTTCAATTAGGATTTATATAAAAATCTTGTAATTCGTTAATTAAGAAGATTATGAATGACAAAAACTTGTTGTATTATTCAATGAATTAATACAAAATTAAATCATTATTGTGTTGGCAGTAAATGCATATTCAAGCAATTTTTAATTTAACATTAGTTAACAATCAATATACAGAAGGATTGTATTTTTTAAAAAAATTTTGATATTACACATTTTAAATAATCAGAATAATCATAAAGCTTTGAGAAAATGTCGAAGGCTCTATTGAAGAAAAAGAGAAAGAATACAGCAACACGTATATGTATCTACGTGTGTAGTCTTTAATAAGAAGACGTGCATTCGCTATTCAACGATTACCATTTTCTACATCGTCTCGTTATTACCCATTGTTTTGCTCAATTATCCGCTTGGAAGAAGCGGGCAGATGCGCACATCGGGTCTCGAGCTTTATTATTGTTCTCCGTGCCGTCAATGGGCAGCCGAGATAAATATCTGTCGCGCATCGCTAATTCTCCAAGTGATCGATATTCAATTTTTCGCCCGCCTTTCCACTCACCCTCGCTACCTGGCTAATCATACCAGTCACGCACCTTAACTATGACCATCTAATGTTGCGTGAGCGAGTGCCACACCCAAGCTCGAATGTCACTACGTGCTTGAATACGGCATCGAGGGCCGATTGATTTTTCACCACGTGTCAGGTCAATTGTCCGTATATTTATTTGCTCCGCGAGCGACATGAAAACGGAATGCGACCTGTCTTTTTTACTGGCGAGGCGCAAGCGCTTTTGTTTGGTGCTTCGGTACTTTAATTCAGCGCGCATAAGCAAATATGAACGTGTGCGTTGCACGTACGTTTGCTTTTCGACGCTGCGCAGTTCAATTGAGTTGTCCGCTTCATATACATTCTATAGAAGGTCCTCCAGGACAATTTCAATACGCAATTTCCACGAAGATCTGCTACTTTGTCTCTTCAAATTTTGTTTGCTCGATTGCTTAGCGAGGAACTGTCGTTATCAAGAAGAGAGAAAAAATTATAGACTTTTCGTTTTATTGTTGGATGCTTTTAATGGAGAGCAAGTAGAAGCAAGCGAATTGAGTTAAAGGATCGAAAGTTAGGCGGCCTTATATTCAATTGGGTCGTATCAGCTTGCTTCAACTACTCAATATGATATTTAAAACAACGTAGTATATCTCTAATTTCCATAATTAATTAAATAAAGAAGTGAAATGCCATGAAAATAAACTTTAGCTAAAAAAAAAAAAAATAAACCATATTTCGTAATGTTCTAACGATATAGTCTTTAAACTTATAAAACTTAATGATTTTCGTTAAGCTTTTCACTTTACTAGTCGTCTTTAATTGCTTTAAATAGTGATCTTCTTGCAGAAATGATATGTTCTCTTTTATTGTCTGTTTTGAAGTTCTTCAACATAGAGCGCTAGAGTAAATGTTGCTGATTCATCGAAAGAATCTGCTCAACTGACGATCAATTTATTGAATTGCACTTAAATAATATAGGGGATACAATTTTTGCGTATATTCATATAATATACGGCAATCTCACTAAATGCATCCATGATTCCGTATATCGTTGAACATTATATTTCCATATTACATGTTATGATTATTCTTCTAATTTATCATCTGGTTTATAATAATGCATTAGCGGTCAATTAGCTTGGCAAATAATATCCGTTTTCTCTTGAAATATACGAATTGATAAATTAATTGGCAATACGTATGTTTCAAGACAAAATACATCGCATGTAATAGCATTAAAAACATTGTGCATATTCTCGTGTATGAAAATATTAATGAGTAGTTGAATAAATATACAATTTCTTCATCGAATAAATTATTATTATTATTATTATTATTATTATTATTATTATTATTATTATTATTATTATTATTATTATTATTATTATTGGATTAAAAATAAAAAAATGCTTAACTTAAAATTCTCATAATAAAGTTGGAATTCCCCCGTCCCTCCACCCGTCAATGCTTTTATTTTTATTTATTATTATTATTTTTTTTTTATATACGTAGCAAATACATGTCAATATGAAAATGCCTTTGTCATAGTTTGGAGCGAAGTTTGTTTACGTAACAAGTTTTATTTTAAACTGGAAGCAAATATGAAACAGTTCGTTAATCAAAAGTTATACGATATTAAAGAAATGTTTGTTGATGAACGAGAGAATGACTGTTTACATATATGCCAGACTTATAATGAAAACAACTCATTTTCCTCGTTCACTTACTTAAAAATAATTACTTAATAATTACTAATTCTTCGACTTGTTCGTACCTTCCAGAATCCGATAATGAGAGCAAGGATGGATCGAGTTCGCAAGAAAAGAAGTCCGGTCGACTTTCTCAGCCAATCAATACCATCTTTTATACGGTGAGTTTATCTACCAATGCGCATACGTAAAGGTATCCGATGTATACTCGTATTAAGCAAGTCTTCTCCTCGTCTCATGGTCATCGATAGCGAACAAAGAGTTTCCTTACCACTTGTGCAGTTCTTCGACTATAACGAGGACATAAATACGAAGACACGTGCAACGGAACGCAACGCAACGCGCGAACGCCTATTCCTTTATAAATAACGCGAATGTTGTTTGAAAATCTTCAGATTTATATTCGGCATTTGCGAGTCAAGCAATCCAAATAAATATCTTCATTCATCGGATCGACAAAAAAATGTTATACGCTCATGTGAGACGCGCTTGACGCGCGTGGAAACGAGCTCTATCTTGCCTCAAATACAATTAATATTATCCTTACAGGCGCGCCAATTGATTTGTAATAAGGGATTTGTTTTCCTAGACCATCAATCTGACTCTTACGCTAATGGATATTAAAATCTACCAGCGAACCCAGACGATGAGTGATCGCCCACTACTACCAAATAGCATAATCCAACAACGCGCCCGTAACATTACAAAATTTTAACAAACACGTTGACTGATTTAAACATTTTTTCGGTCGTAATTGCAAAATCTTGAGAGCGAATAGATATGTTATCGGCAGTTCAGTACACGACTGACTTTCAAATACACGACAATTAATAACGCGACAAGACTCGGGTCGACGGATATTCACGTCTGCGTAACAAGGAATCCATTCCCCGTCGCGCTCCTCGCCCCATCGTCGCCAACTTCCTCCGATACTCGAACGAAAATTGATATGACGATTTTCTTATTAAGACAAAGCAATCGCCATATAAAGACGCACAATGGCAAACTCGAAGCCGCGAACGACGCGACTGGCTCAAGCTTTCATCGATTTCATTCGAGAACGAAGCCCGTCAAGCTCAGCCTCCCCGAGCTTTATTCCGGCCCTTATCGCACATAATTACATCTCGATCGTCGATGTGGCATTAATCAGGCATTTGCGCCTCGGTGATTAAGTGTCAAGGCAACATGGCTACGATCAAGGTGCTGCACGTGCGGATGCACTCCTCGGCTCGGATACGCAAATATTCGATTTTTCCAGGTTTATCGCTCGCTATATCTTCCTATAGCTGCACTTATCTCATTACTGCTTCGCTGTGTTCGATAAAACGAGCAGAATCGTACGATGTAAAGCTCGGATTGATTGAAAGGAGTATCTCCTTTGTCGCCGTCGTCCCTCTTACGCCGTTTCTCGACCACAAGCACCTGCCGCCATCGCCAGAATCTTCTATTTAGCTCACAGAGTGTTTGCGAATAAGGGAGTAACGGTGGCTGAGAGGACGGCGATGGCTTCTCCGCGATCAAGGAATAATGATTATCAGGGCGATTAAGTGCTTTTGTTGCTGGATAGTTTCTCTTGTCCGACGTCTTGTATCATGCAATGGAAGGAACTCGGAGGGCAACGTAATTTTGTTTAATGAACTTATACTCATAAAACTTTTACCCCTTTGAATACTAAGAAAGTTCAACTTTTTTCATTTCATAGAGGGCGAGTTTTTTGTTTCTTATATAATAGAGTAATTTTATAGTTAATTTTTTATTTTCAGATGAAAAAGTTTTATTCCAGTATTTATTTTACATTACTTCTCATCTTGAAAAAGATATAAAAGTAATTATAATTAACTAGTAAGATCACTTAGAAGAGTAACAGAAGTTTTTTTAAAGTTTATCTAATAGCCATTAATGATTAAGCGACATAATTATTCCATCAATTATTCAACATAATGTACCCTTTGCAACAATTACACACGATTAAACGCATTGGAATGAGTACTTATAATATTGGTCAATAATAAGATATTGTTACGACAAAAATTAAGTATCGTTAATCTATAGTTGACAATAGTAAGGAAGAAATTCTTAATTACCAGCTACGAAATAATTTTAAAGAACTTTCAAATTTTCTAAGTACAAACACAAGAAGTCGTAAACAATATGTACTATCTCCTAATTGTTTTTATAATAAAATTTCAAAGGAATGAATAAAGAAATTCATTAAATTCATTAATAACAATCATTAATGGGGCATTCAATTGTATTTGTTAAAACTAATGAAATATATAAATATTAAAATTTGTAAAAGTACTACTTTGTAATATATTATTGATTTGCAAAACAATTTAACAAATAATGAACTTCAGTTACATATATTCCAGTATAACGGAAATTCCTACAAATAACTTTAACAAATATTTTGTCTTTTTAGCAAAAAAAAAAAAAAAAGTTAAAAATATTTTCTAAATATAGTAATTAGTATTCTCGTTTTAACAATTGTTTACACGACAGCGTGAAATGACAACTAGTCTATTATTATAATTAAATTTCCTTTCATGTTTTTGAAATTAATTATTATTAAGTCATTAAACTAAAAATATTTACTTATTCGCTCACTGTCTATTACAAACACGAATTTCCCGATTTCCGATATTTTGCGCAAGAAATTTATTACTATTCATGGAGACTAAAAATATATTTACTTTGGATAATAAAAGATAATTTATATATAGCAGTTGCCCATTAAAACATAAATTTAGCTAAAAATTTACGCGCTCGCTTTTATCCTTGTGACATAGTTAAAAGTTGTCTATTATACATTAGTATTTGATCGTATTGGAAAATATCGTACATATTTGAAAGCAAGTTTTCTATATGAAACGGCCCAATGTCCTATGAAGCTCAACTTCACAATAAAGCTCATATCCGTCTCATTTATCTGAAAATCTTATTTACCACTATTTAACGAAGCGCACAATCGACAGTTTCCTATTGAACTTTAGTACCATCGAAAGCAATCGTGCGTTCGCGTGAGTGAGTGAGATATATATATATATATATATATATATATATATATATAGTGAGAGAGAGAGAGAGAGATAGTGAGAGAGAGAGAGAGAGAGAGTGTGTGTGTGTGTGTGTGTGTGTGAACGAGTGAGATTAATCGGCGTCAGAAGCAACAAAGCAACCGTAGACACGACGAGCTATGCGTCAAAGACTTGCGCATCGACCAATGAGATTTTTTAAAGCGAAATTCGAGCTCGAGCTTAGGAAGCGTCGCACTCATTTCGTTAATAATAGTGTACGCCGGTCTGCGTCTTTCTCTCGAGGAGATCTAAATCCCGCGCGCACCTCGCAATACCCGACAATAATAAATAATCGGACAGGGTGGTAAGGTGCGGGTAGGAGAGTGGGGACGAGGATTCGCGGTGCGTCCGCGGTGGATTTCGGCTTTTATGATCGAGATCTGGCGAAGAGGGCGACAAGTACGGCAACGATTCGCGTTGAGACGATTCGCGCTAATCCGAAACGGCCAGGTGCCAAGTGCGCAAATTCGAGCGACTCGCGAAACTACTTCGTCTGCCGGCGCTCGCGATTTTCTTTTTCGCTTCGAATGAAGTGCAGGCGCTCGCAGACCTACGACGCGTCAATTTTATCCCAGACTTTTTATTCCTCGGGGCATTCCTACAAAAAGCCTTAACGCTGCTTAGCACAGTTTCCAATAAGCAAATGACGCTTGAGTATTAAACGATGTATTCCCCAATATGCGGAAATAAGTTTGTTGAAAGGCGGAAGAATACGGGGCTTTTTAGAATTCCTTAATGGCTTTATTCGTGCAAGCCTTTGGACTTAAATGAAATATTATGTCTTTATGACTTTATAAAGCGAGGATTGAATTGCAAAATATTTGAGGCTGAGGTGCAATTAATGTTCTATTTCATCAATTCGTACAAAATGTTTCCGGACTTGCTTGTGATTAAAATTCATTATAAAGCAAAGACATTTGTGAATCCTTGTAAAAGACTCTTTTCGTCGCTATAGCAGCATGTTTTCGTCTTATAAACTTATCAATAATTCATTATTTATTTATAAGTTTGAGAAAAGAAACTTCAAAGTGGCAGAATAAATTTCTAAGTATAATATATTTTGGTCTACGCCTCCTGAATCTCATTGGCTGATATTTTCTCTTTCTAATTCTTTGCATTTCCGCGACTTTTCATGCTTGCTATTTTGAAAAAGTACTTGGTAATGGTTAGCTTTTGACTCGAAAAAGTCAAAAAAAAAAAATCAAAAAAAAAAAAAAAAAAAAAAAAAAAAATAATAATTAAATAAATAATAAAGTTAAAGGTTAGATTTTGACTCGAAAAAAGAAAAAAAAAAAAAACAAAAAAAAAAAAAAAAAAAAAAAATAATAATTAAATAAATAATAAAGTTTCAATAACCAACATAATTTTTTTCAATAATTTTCATTGGCTAAGAATCTATCTTTTATTCATTAATCAAGATATTAAATTTATCAAATTTCGTTTCACATTCCTATGTTGAATCGTTAATATATATCATTACATTAATTATAGACAATAATATAAATAATAGTTACATATTGTTATTTCTCTAAAATCTGCTATTACAAATTACGATAAATTATTTTTAATTAAACACATACACGCATACGCTACCATTTTGAACTTAGTTACTTTATAATAATAAAAGACCAAATTAATGAATAAAGTTACTGTAATTATCACATCGAATAATTTAAATTTATAAATATTTATATTCTTTAAATTTACCCTTGTACGCTAGTATTATGTTTACAGTTAATTTACATTATTTATATAAGAATTTAATGGATAAACATTTAATGAATTATTCTTTATATTATGTATAGTATCAAGAATACAATAAATATTCATTTTGTCTTAATATCGTCTGTTTGTATTTGTAAATATTTGTCACAATTGGCAAATTATCTATGTGCAGCACATTGCCTAAAAATTAATTTCCGAATGGATTTAATAATTGAACAAAATTAAATCATTTCAACTAGAATTAAATAAGATTTATCGCATGTAATAATGAAGTTCGCTATTTTAATGAACAACTTGTGTCAATTATAAATATCAATTATGCCATGAAATATATGTATGGCATATAAATATATTATGCA